TAATGGTTGACAATACATGACATGTTCGAGATTATAGAATTTCGGGTATCTAAACTTTACTCTATTGATACATAAAAAAATGTCAATATCCGTCTATATTTTCAAAAGATCTTTTGAAGATGAAAAAAGAAAAGACAAGACAAGAGAAAGAGATTTCGAAAAAAAAATAGATAATAAATATGTTTATGCATTGATAAACAGTAGCAATTTCAAATATATATATATATATATATATATATATATCTATATATATAAATTTATGTTCAAATAATTTATTGTTTTAAATCTCGAACACAAAGTATTCGAATTTATTATACTACTAATTATGGTATTACATTGATCTGCCTCGATAGATGAGACCAAATAGAAAGACATTTAACGCCGCCAAACCCCAAACCCTAAATCCAAAACGCAAACGCCAAATGTGGGGTAGAGAGTATAGAGAGTATTTGGTTCTTGCCTTGCTGTTACCATCTATAGGAACACAGGAGGTCATTTTATTCAAATAATCCACTCGGATGGCAGCAATTTCTCATGTACACCACTAAAAAAATAAAAACAAAAAATTCAATTTTATACTACTTTTTCGTTCAAAATGTCCGAAATAACCTTTCTTTCATATTTTTTTACGACTTTTATTGCGACTGATATATAACTAATATATGACTAAAAAAAGTATTTATGATTGTATAATAAGTGAAGGTCTAAAAAAACATAGTCATTTTTTAAATTTGAAAGATGTATTTTTTGCCACCTTATTTAGAATCAATTGCATCTGTGTTTAGAATTAATTATGATGTCGCAATTACAATTCCTTTTTGAATGGACAAATTATACGGTTAAATTACAATATAAACAGTATATTAATCTAAAATATTAAAATACTAAAACGGGAATCACAGTGTTAATAACAAGTCACGAATGCTTTTGTTGAACCCATTTTCTTAATCCTTTTTTAATGAAAACTAATAATAATAATAATCTCTTATGATAATAATTATATTTATTATGAATAATATTCCAAACAATGTTTACCCCCTTTTAGAACACTAATAAATGTACGAACAAGCAGTCCGTTTTCTGTTGTTGTTTTTTTTTCCTGGAGAGAGATATTTACAAATCTTCTATTTATTAATGGTTAAGATTATGATTTTGATTCCAAAACTGACTCTGCCATTTTTGCTTGACAGGATTTCTTTGTGGGAAATCAAATATTTTTATTTAATGGCGTATCTTCAATAGATAGATTTCCATTTCAATTCACCAACAACATAAAAAGAAAACTCTGCTTCCATTTTCCCGCGAACCAAACAGAAAGTACAAACCCTAAATTGGAAGCTCGCCCTCGTTTCCGTCCAAACAAAAGCAGAGCAATACAAAGGATACTACACTTAAGCACTGAGCAAGAAGAACCAGATTCAATAGCCGTCGTAGTGGACTGAATCTGATCCAAATTATGGGCCCCACCGCCTCAGCCATTGGAAAATCCCATCATCCTCTCCCGGAAAACCGATTTCGGTTGCCGGAAAACCTCCGATGAACCACTTCCCGGGAGACGATCCGATTGGAAAACGACGTTAAGGAAGTGGATGAAGGAGAAGAACACGGCGGAGACTAGGCTGTACGGACGGCGGAGGAACGGATCGATCGACGAGTTTTATTCGTGTCGCCGTATGAAAGTGGACATGTAATTGAATGTATTTACGGAAACACCCCATATTTACCATAGGGTGTAGCTAAAAAGGAAAATATCTTAACCCCTGATATTTGTTATTTTTCTCGACTCCGTATTTTTTTTTGTAGTTAATTATAATCATTACGCATTTAATTAATCTAAGAAAACGAAATTAATTAAGATATGTCCGAGATCCGTCTCACAGATTTGAGATATCATGTTCAAAATACAATCAAGTTTATTGTTATAAAACATTTGATTGATAAAAAAAATACTTTTTAATACTAGTTTGTTTATTTTTTCAAAGGGATAAACTAAAAAAAATTATAGTTTTAAAATTTCTTTAAAAAACCATCTATTTTCAATTAATTATTTAAAACCATCAAATAAGTATTTTAATTAAAAAAACAATCTTTAAGTTTATTTTGGTTTAAGATGAAGTAGTATATAAAAATAAAATTTTAAAACTAAAATTTTTAAATAAAACAATGTAATTATCTTAAAATAAATAAAATGATATCTATATCCTTTAGATAATTATGTAGTTGTACATAAATTTTAAAATATATTTATATATTTGATCATTTAAATCACACATAAAAAAAATACTAAAATAAAACTATATATCAAATTCTGATAATTTAGTGTGTTAAAAAACAAGACATTGATGTTATGTATATTTTTGCATCTATGATGACATGTAAATAACGTTATATTTTGATATAGGATATCTATTGAATTTCACGATATTTATACATTTATAGATATCCTTTATACAGTTTTGCTTTGATTTCGATGTTTATGTTGTTTTGCAGGAGAATTGGAGAAATCGACAAAAACGAGTCATTTGCAAGGGAATTAAGTTGGACAGATCAAATGTGCAAGAGTTATACATTTCGACCTCCATAACTTTCTCAATACAGCCCCAAATCACATGTGCTATATGTCATTGGAAAGCTCTTTTCAGTAGCTACGCGTAGACACCAAGATCACTCCAATCGGACATCGGAGAAGAAAGTTATGAGCAAAATACTACAACTGTGTCAACCAACAACGATAGCGCGATCGTAGCCACACGATAGGGCGATCGTGCATTGAAATCTGCGCAAAATTTTCTCAGAAATGCGATCGACCCATCGTGGTAACATGATGGCTCGATCGTGGGCCAAAAATGTGCGATCATGACGATGGAGCCCGTGTCCGCCACTGAGCTGTGTTTTCTAGTGACGATCGAACGATCGTCACCGACGATATCGCGATCGTCCGAAAAGAAAGACATGATTTCCTTGATTTACGCCACTAAAACAAAAAGGAGAGAACGACAGCGTTCTTTAAAAAGGAGAAGCAGAGAATAGAGCAGAGGGAGCTTCGACGGCCATCGACAGAGAGCTTCACCCAAGAGAGGAGCGGCAGGTCCGACCCAAGCGTCGCACGGAGGTTCCAGAGGAGAAGAAGGAGATGAGGAGGAAGACCACGCTGCCCATAACTCCTAAGCCTCTCTAACTCTCTCTATTCTTTCTCTGGGATTTTTCCGTGCGATATCTTGTTATTCTCTCTGGTTGTGTTTGTGTGTTGAACTCCCGTCATGAGGTTTTCAATAGTGATAATCATCGATATGTCACATTTTCTAGATGATATCTCTATTTTCTGATACAAGTTTTGTCTATCCGGGTAAATAGTTTTGAGGTTTAATTTCATATCACTATGTAAATTAAACCCTAAAATCATACAATTTAAGTGATTAGCAAGAATTGATATATTAAGAATCATTCACTCAAACCAAATATCAAACCAGTAATAATCAAAATACCCACGCATAAATAAATGCATTTCTGAGAAAATTTTGCGCAGATTTCAATGCACGATCGCCCTATCGTGTGGCTACGATCGCGCTATCGTTGTTGGTTGACACAGTTGTAGTATTTTGCTCATAACTTTCTTCTCCGATGTCCGATTGGAGTGATCTTGGTGTCTACGCGTAGCTACTGAAAAGAGCTTTCCAATGACATATAGCACATGTGATTTGGGGCTGTATTGAGAAAGTTATGGAGGTCGAAATGTATAACTCTTGCACATTTGATCTGTCCAACTTAATTCCCTTGCAAATGACTCGTTTTTGTCGATTTCTCCAATTCTCCTGCAAAACAACATAAACATCGAAATCAAAGCAAAACTGTATAAAGGATATCTATAAATGTATAAATATCGTGAAATTCAATAGATATCCTATATCAAAATATAACGTTATTTACATGTCATCAAATATTAAAAAATGATTTTTTCTATAATAAAATAAAATATATAGTAAACCATAATAGGGATTCGTATCCATATTTTTTATTTACAAAAATGTAAGGACCCTTGATTTATCTTATACGATTATTCATCATCTATACACACGTATTTATATATATAGTGTGTTTATAATGGATTTTTATAGGTAAACGCTAAATAGTGATATTAGAATGGTTTGATTTAATTTAGTTTGGTTTAATCTGGTTTAGTTTGGTTAGGGTTTAACAGGGTATTTCATTTTCTCCTATTGTATTTAAAGAACATTGTGTTATTTGAATCAATACACATTTATTCTTTTCCTCTACGTCTCTTCTCTCTCCTCTTCATACTGTAACTCTTGTTCTTAATTTTCTTTGCAAATATTTTTCATTTCATTGGCTTTTGATGTTTTTATCAAAAGTTGACAAGTGAAGCAAATCACACTATTAAATGTATAAATGTACGCAAATTGTCTGTTTTTTTATACAAGTGATAATACGGATTCAAATCCTATTTTTTATTTGCAAAAATAGTAAACACACTTGATGAATCTTATGTGAATATTTTAAATGCTAAATTATATATTACTAAAAAGGATTCAAATCCTATTTTTTTTAATTACAAAATGGTAAATACTTATGTGAAAATTTTGTAAAATTTCAATTTTGAATAAATACTAGATAGGCTATATCCTATATATTTGATCAATCTATCTTATGAATAATCCATCTGAATGTATGGAATGTAGAAAAGAAAAGAGTTGGTAAAATAAGGAAATTATATCTAAAAATTATAGGATAATTGTAAATTTAGGGGAGAAAGCATAAAATAGAAGTATAATTAAAAAAAACAAATAGCTATCTCAGTTTTTAATAAAAATATATACGTTTTTCTCTAAACAAGAATTTGACTTAAGGGATGTTGCCATAGATATTATAATTACAATTATGTATATGGTACTTTAATTACCATCGATTATGTTTGATTGCGTATAGAATCCCATGTATTTATAGGTTAAACGTATATAATTAAAAAAAAAGGAGAAAATACAAGAAAAAAAAGATTCGTTTTCAATAAAGCCAATGTGCTAAGAGTATCGTCATTATGTTCCTGCACACAAGGAGCCCTTCAAAGAATCAAAGGTGCTTCGGACGAGGGGAATACACAGACGTTGCTACAGAAGAACAAAAGTTAACAACTTCGATTCGTTTTTTACGGGAACCTTGTGCGAATTTTATTGGCTTAATCTTAGCTCCGTCGTCCCACCACTCTCTTTCCGTAAGTGTCGATGGAACCCCATCGTAAGACATCTTCTCTTGTTGTTCTTTTGATCGGAACGGTATTCTCCGGGCACTTTTCATCATCTTGCCATAGTTGAGAGATTTGTTTGGTTGAGGCATAACACGCTGAGGGGAAGCGTCACCAACACCAGCAGGGGAAGCCTCAACTAACTGAGCCGAGGAATGGAAGTCTGCGGGCTTTGGCAAAGCCAAGTTACCGATTACATCCCGAGGCGTCGGAGGGAAATTCTGAGAAGAAAGGTGACTGAGTCCCGATTGCAGAGGATCCCGAGGGCCCGGGGACGGTGGCCGGCGTGAGGGGTTGCCGTGCGGGGGGAGGATGGAGAATGGGTTGGTCTATCAGGAATGAGGGGGGAACAACATGAACAATCACCTTCTTCATCGTTTTAAAGACCACTTTTTTTGTTGAGAAATCCAAAAATTTTGGATTTGTCGAAATACCCTCTAAATCAACAGGAAACACCCAAATCGATACTGATGTTAACCTTTAAAAACCTTCAATCGACCAAGACACAATAAGAACCCTTCCAACTAAAATGCACAAATAGCGAAATAACGAAATCAAATGGCTCGTATACACTTACCCAGAAACGATGAACGACGATGGAGAACGTTTAGAACCGACGAAATGTGGCGGTGGGACGAAGAGAGAATTTTGGATCTAGGATTTCTCTCCTTTGTCCGAAGAGTGAGAAGGAATGTAGTGTTTGTAAAATCCCTTTTTTACCCTTATCAATTTACCATGAATCACATTCCAGAAACGGGGTTTGGTCCGATTCACGTTATTTCACTAGCTGGCATGGCTTTTTAACCAACGTGGCACTGTCATGTCACGTCTATTTGTACGTGGGGTTTATGGCAATTTTTAAAAAATTGGAGAATTTTTATAGAAATTGAAAAGTTGGTGTATTTTTATGAAATTCGTGGTTCTTTAGGTTATTTTTTTATTGTTTTATTACCAAATATAATCATTTAGAATAAAAGTTTAACTCAATTTGGCAATAGAATTTGGGGAGGGAACATGTGAAGATGATGAAATTTGAATCGGCTAACATAAGCTTTCATAATACGTATTCGTGACAATGGATAAGCTCATGGGCACTCATCGTGTCTGCCAGGACCTCCGTAGTAAAAACCGGTTCCCTCGGGGAACGTTGAAGCGTACAATGTGTAACAGTTTCCGTGAGTGATTGTCGGTTTGAAGCTTCCGAGATCATCGCGAACGTTGTCCGACGAGTCGACAACCGCTATGTCGAAGAAAGAAGCCGCCTTACCCAACCCTTCGTCCGGAAAGTGTCCACTCCCCATCTCCGTGGACGTGTGCTGATTCGGATTCTCGTTGTCAATCTCACCTCCCAAATCAAAATATTGCGCACCTTGGTCCAGTCCCGTTACTACGTCTCTGTGCCAGTATCCCAGGGGTTCCCCAGCCATATATAGCCACCAGTGTTTGCTTACGGGGTCCTAGTTCACAAGAGATTCGATGATTTCAACAACCGATTCTCTATATATAGGGCGGTTCTCTATATATACAAAGAATATAACTAAAAAATCATGAACTTTTTAAATTTGGTAAATAAATATATAACTTTTAATTTTGTATAAAGAATATACAAACTTTGAAAGTTTTCGTATACAACCACACACAAATGAATTGATTTTAGTGTTTTGTGGGTTTACGAAAAAAATTCAAATTATATATTTTTAAACAAAGTTAGAAGATCATATATTTATTTACCAAATTTAAAGAATTTGGCGATATATGAAAGAGGACTTACCATGGAGATGGCCAATTCTAAATAAAATTGTGTACCATCATAGACGGATGTAAGTGGTAAGACACCACCGATGGTGACACGGTGGTCAGTATGAACAAAGCCGGGGCATCCCAAGTTGTAGCAGCCAGTGCTCCCGTATGCATCATCCTGTTTTTCGTCGGATTATAAACCTCCTCCGCCATGAAAGATAGTCGAAAATGGAAGTCCGTTTATAGAGAAGCTTACAGTCCAAAACGTGAACAAATGTGTTTTCGTGTCTCCATATAATCCTGGGTAAACCTGATATAAGAGGACATGTTAATATGAAACAGAGATGGCAACGCAACAACGAGATAGCCCGAAAAAAAAACACATAAGCAAGTACCTGCCAGCCGGCTTCAACGGTGGTGGTAACCACGGGGTCACTAATGAGCCACAACTGAGCCAAGCTGAACTCATTTGCGCCTGCCTCGACTCTCGGATTCCACACTCCCATACGAGCCTTTCCTCCTACGAGTTCTCCTTGAGTTCCCATTATTGCGTACTAGTAAAGCCCCTCGAAAACGTGAACGGGCAAGTTACGGGTGTATAGGACATGCAAGAAGCATAGGTTTATACATATCATATATTTACATCTGTATGTATACCTCGTGCTTATCTCGGTTTTCGTCGACAACATAGGATCTGTTTAGTGGTGGAAGCTTCTTCTTCTTAAGGGAAGCTTCTCTTAGCAAATCTTCTCTTGTTGTTCTTGTGATTGGAATTGTGTTCTTCGGGCATTCCCCGTTCATGCGCCAAAGCTGATTCCACATGGCTTCCGATTTCCCAAACGCATCTTCTTTTTTGGAACAAAATTTAGGCAAGCCGCTCGGCCTCATCTATTCATGGTGTGATCCTCAAAAACAAAACGTACACAAGGAAATATTAGGGCGAAACCTCATTGTGGATACTAACTTGGATTGTTTGGTTCTTGAGCAAAGGATGATCCATACTAGGTTGATCCATGACATGAACGCAATCTATTATTCTTCCCTCTGAACCCTGTCCGAAATTGAAAGACAACAGTTACACACGTACCATGGTATTTGTCATACTTTGTCTACATGTGTGTGTGTATATATATATATGTATATGTTGTGTGTGTGTGTATGCCTTGGTGGATTTGACGGGAAACTTGTTGCGTTGCTTCAATAGTCTTTGAATTTCGGCTTCGGAGAGTTTGCGTTTTCCTGCAGAACCAACGATTACACTTGCTATTATCACAAGTGCCAGCATAAAACTGCATGTCTCATTATTCATCGTTATATCAGAAAGCTAACGATGCTCACACGACTTTAGAACATAACTGTCACGGGCTAGGCTCTTTATATATACATAGTATAGATTTTTATATTAAAACGCTAAATAGTGAAACAAATCGGAATATTAGCAGTGTAATTAATCAAGATTTGTTTTACCTATAAGAAATATAACTTATGTGGAAAACAATTACAGAATTAAATCCAAATATTTATTTACAAAAAACGTAAGTGCCTTCTATAAACCTTATATGAATATTCATCATTTATATACACACACGTACACAATGGAAATTTATATGAAAAAAGCTTTGTTGTGAAAGTGAAACTAATCTCACTATTAAATGTATAAATATTCAAAAATGTTTTTTCTATAACAAGAATAAAATATATGGAAAATAATAATTGGGATTCACATCCATATATTTTTTTCATAAAGATCACATCCTTATTTTTTATTTACAGAAAGTAAGGACCCTTGATTTATCTTATACGAGTACTCATCGTGTATATATATATATATATATATATATACACACATTGAAGCAAATCACTCTATTAAATGTATAAATGTACGAAACTGTTTGTCTTCTATATAAATGATAATACGGATTCAAATCTCTTTTTTTTTTACAAAGTAGTAAACACACTTGATGTATCTTATGCCAACATATAATCATATATCACGCAGTGTAAAATTTTAGTTGGTAAGTTATATATTAATAAAAAAAGATAAGTATTAAATTTAGGAAAAATGCATTAGAATTAAACTATCATTTTACTGTCCAATAATTTAATGCATATTATAAATACAAAAATATATTATAAATATATTTTCTATTTTCAAACTCTTGAGTTAACAGTCAAATTATAATGTCCATAATTTGATGCAAAAAAAAATTATATTATAAAAAATATATATGCCTATAAAACCTTTTTTGGGTAAATTTTCTCTGTAAAACTTAATAAAAGTCCGTGCACTACTTTGTCCACGGGGCATGCCACGTCGTCATCATTAGAGTAATACCAAATAATGTAACTTCATGTTTTGTGGGTATATACATTATTTGCGATTTTTTAGAATATTAAAAGGAGACAACCATCCGGACAACAGAGATTATTTTTTTTTAAAAAACAAAAAACATAATAACTCGTCACACACACTCTGAATATTGACATGCACGTACGGCATGCAGACTTCAGCACTTATTCAATGAGAAATCTAAACATACTTCGGTTATTACAAAGTACCACACCGAATCTTATGGACTATACACACATCTTACACACAATCTTTAGCGCATATGTTTATCCACGTGACAACATATATGCATACATATATACGCATTTATCAGGGGCAGTTAGGGTTTTTGCCAGGACCACCGTAGTAGAAGTGAGTGGCCCATGACGTACCCGCGCCTCCAATGCGGACATTGTAGCAATTAGGCGTCGGGGCGAGGGCTCCAAGTGATGGCGGTGGTCTAAGAGTGTTAGACCCATCAACTATCTCAAGGTTCCTGAAAAAGGCTGCCTTTCCGAACCCTTCTTCTGGAAAGTGCCCACTTCCCATATCCGTGTTCGTGTGTCCACTAGACTGTGCGTTCACGATTTCGCCTCCCCAGTCCACTCGGTTCGCGCTATCCTTCAGGCTGGTGAACAACGTGTTTGGCCAGTACCCGACGTTTATTCCCTGAATTTGGAGCCACCAGTTTCCTGTGTTCTTGTCCTAAATTTAAAAATGAATCCGGTTATGGTTGTATATGTTCATGTGTCAGATTTTAATGTTTAATTGGCCAAAGATTCCGATCATTACCCTCCATATGAGTAAACTGATTTCGTACTGGGTACCTCCATACGATGATGTTGGATTGAGGGTTCCACCAAGGACGAAAGTTCCGTCCGTCTGGACAAACGCTGAGCACAGAAGATTGTAGCAACCTGTGTGTTGGTATGCATCTCGCTGTTTTGAATTCCCAACATTTTGTTAGTGGCCAAAGAGGATTATGGTTCATAGGTAAGAAATATCCCTAGATAATAAATTGAACGCTCAAAAACTTACGGTCCAGTAGATAAAAAGTCTTGTGTTATAGTCACCGTACAACTGTTGATACTCCTGTATATATACATATACAAAAGGTAAAAGAAGAGAGAATGTAAGTATACGAATCAAGACAAGAGAGATCTATCACAGCTGTGATAAAACTTATGCATATTATAACCGGTCGAATTAGAATAAGACCTGCCAACCAGCTTCTATGGTGTTGAGATCAGAACCACTTCCGGAGACAACCCATGTTTGGGCCAAGCTGAACTCATCGGATTGTTGGACAAAGGGTTTCCATACATTGATGTAGGATTTTGAACCGTAAACCTGGTTGTTCAATGCTTGCGTCACTCCGTACTAAATCAGCACCAAAAACAAAAAAAAAGGATCAAATGAGGATTAAGTAATATGGCTGCAAATATATTCAAATGCATATATATGAATATACCTCGTGGACGGAAGCACCTAGATCACGTGATACAACTTGTTGAATAGTTCTATAACTCTTTTTTCCGAAAGTCTCGAGGGAAGTTGATCTTAAGAGATCTTCTTCTTTTGTTCTTCTGATCGAAACTGTGTTTTCCGGGCACTCTCCATACATGTGCCATAGTTGACCTATAGCCTTCGGCTTTTCCTCGGTGTTTTCTGCAAGACCGCTTTCAGGTTCGGAACTTGGCCTCATCTTATAATTCCAAAAAAAAAAAAATACAAAATAAGCATTTAGTATGGAAGCATATTGGGAGACACAAGCCAAAGGGACAAAACCAGTTTGAATCTGTCAAATAAACCTGGATGATGTGGTCTCGCAGCAAAGGATGATCAAAGGCTGGTTGGTTGGCAATAGGGACACAATCTATTATATCTCCATCCGGACTCTGTTCATATATGGAAGAAAAAATTTTAGCGCCAACGGTTTCAAGTATTACGCTAGGGTTTCACATATTGGGAATACACCACGTTATAGACACCAGAAACAATCCTAGAAATATACGGAATTGACATTACTATCTTGATGAGAACACATCAATGGGAAAAGAGAACACCGTTAACGTATTACTATACGGATACGGACCTGGATGGATTTAACAGCAGGCTTGTTAAGTTGCTTCAAGCGTCTAAGTATTTCAGCCTCTTGGAAATCGGAAATTTCAGTTTCTTGGGCAGAAGCTGTGATAATGGCGGCGGTCATTACCGTAACCATTAAAATGGTTTGCTTAAGGTGAGAAGCCATTATCAAATCTAAGAACTAGCTCTCTTGAAAAACGATTAGCAAGGTTAATGCTGAATTTTATAGGCATAGAGTGCCTTATTATATATCCAAATGGATGGCGTTCTTGGGGGAAACAATCAAAAGGTGGACTTTGTTATCTTATCTTTTCTTTTTCTATAGTCATGTTGGCCTGTTGAAGTACACGTAACGTTTTTCAGAATTATAGACGAAAACATAAATAAAACTAAATGATCGATACAAAAGTCTAAATCCCAAAGACGAACAAAGTTAGATAAAATTTTGAAAGCAACGTTAAATCCGATTATTTATATATTTTTTTTATTAGATTCAATGATTTGTTTTATGCAATGTTAGTTTCAGTAATTATCAAATGGATGTATTTTTAGAATTATCTTAAAATTAACCCAATCCCAATATATCTTTTCAAACTACATCTCATAAAGTAATTTTGGATCCAACTAAAATATTAGATTAAAAAAAACATATTTACCCTTATTCCCGTGTTATCATTTTTTAATAATTAAGATTTAGTTTAGAAAATAAGTTTCCATTAATTTACAGGTCAAAAACGATAGTTTAGTTAGGGAGAAAAATCAAAGTTAGATTGTTTTAGATAGTCGTAATATTCAAAACTGTAGTTTAACCAAAAAAATTAAGAACCCATTAATTGAAATCACCATAAAAATTAAACTAAAAAAATCAGATGTAAAATTTCAGTTTCATTTATATAATTGTGATGAAAAATATCAAACCCACTATCATTTTTGGGGGTTATTATTTAGCATCCATGACAGTTCACCACGACATCTATAAAAGCATGATCCAAACACTCAAAGAAATAGATCGATCAGTACGTAATAAATATATATATATATATATATATTATAGTTGAGTAATATATATATTATATAGTTGAGTACACAAATCTTTTAAAATACTCAGTGTAAGATTTGCAAATATTTGCGTATATCATGTATTTGAAACCAGAAGGGGTGAGGCCGTGAGAAGGTGAGAAGTCTTCATCATTATTTAAAAAAAAATGTTTAAAAAATCCAAATCTGGCATTTATATGAGGAATTTAGTGATTGGTTTATATTGGTTCAATATGATTTACTCTGGTATCGTATTTCCTGTTTCTGGTTTAATTCTTTTGCAATTCGACGGTCGTCATTGGTTTAATTTTAATTTCTATGTTTTGTGTTTGTTATTATGGTTTCCGAGAAATACTTAAACGTTGAATGTTTATACTTTTAAATTCGACGAGCGAATAAATTCACAATTTTCTTCTTTGATTCGAAATCCAACAATTTAATTGGTTATGTGTATGGACCAAAGCTACTGTCAATCTAATTAAACCGGTTTGATATAATTTAATTAATCGTATCATGGACGTTATATTATTATAACGTAAAGGGTGTGATTTAAATAAAATACAAACATCTTGACAAAAATAAATATAAACATGCGAATCTATATTTAATTGACTCCGGACCAAATTCTATAAATTAGATTAATTTAATTATACAAGTTATATATATATATATACACACTCAAACTTATCAAATAGACGCTATGTTATTTAATACTATATTATACAATATTAACACTCCCTCATCAATTATTGAGCTTGAGGCTGCTGGCTGCTACAGCCTCTTTTCAAAGGATTGTAAACAATCAATATTCAAATGAATTTTATCCATTTCCAAATCTGTCCACGTGACATTCACATCATCATGATGTGCTAAAATGGGTAATTTTTTAAAATGTCTAAAATAAAAGAACAAAATCGTTACAAGTTATATATATATATATATATATATATATATATATATATATTGTATATATATTTTTTGTTATATATAGACTAATCTATATTTTTTTTTCTTTGGGAAGAGGATCAGCAGTCTACTAGGGTTACAAACGGAGAGAGACCACCGGATACCGACGACCGGCACCGGAGAACACGAATCACAGATTCGCCGAGAGAGAGAGAAGAGAAAGTTCCAGAAAAAACGAAAAACACCAGTCTAAGCAAAAACCGAAACCCTAGGGCACATTAATCCGCCCTTACACAAAGACCGAAATACCCTCCGTAAGCCTCTGAGAGAATCCGAGGCTTTCAAACCCTCCACTTCATCAGGAGTCTTTTGCTGAAGACAAACTCCAACAAATCTCCACCTTCTTCTGCAAAACCTGCACAACAAACACGAAGCGAAGTAATACGCCTAACCCTAGAGTGCCGATCCCGTAACTTCCATGTAACTCCCCCTCTGGGCATGGTTCAAGACGCATTGAACCTACCTTTCTAAAGGAGTCCTTACCGAGCGTGTCATAAACACGTCTCAGCATGACACGACACACCTAATCTACCCAAGTGAGTGTCCCCCGACACCTCCGCTTCCGAAGGTTTCCTAAGACCTAGACTAGTATGACTCCCTAGACCGTCTAAGTGACCCCCTCCGGTGAAGTCTATACCTCACCAATGGCCCCTCGAGGGTCACGCCCCGACATCTACCCGTCCCCCGAGTCTACCCCGACTGCCCCGACACTAACCTTGAGTCATACTAACACACCTAACTCTTGATCCCCGTAAAGATCAAGCGACCTATGACCTCTACCCCGGACCCTACCTACCGACTAAGGTTCCCCACGGGTTTTACCCCGTGAAGACCCCCTAGTCGAACTATAGAAACTCTACCGAAGGCTCGGAACACGTGCAAGCACGTGCTCCACCCCGAGAGGAAACGCCCCTAGCGCTACTACCCTCACCGACTCTACCCGGTGACATGGCATTTCCTCGCTTGCCCCTTCCCCTGAGCTTCCTACCCGAGATAACTCCACCTAGACGTGGAGACCTCACCTCCGAACCTCCACCCGAGGAGTAGTCGGAGCATACTAGAAGTACCTCCGAATCATACTCCTGAACCGAGGCTACTACCCCCTTACCCTCGGTCTCCTCCTTCGCCCTCCGGGACCTACACTCCTTCTTATAGTGTCCCTTCTTGCCGCAATACCAACACTCCACCTGGTCTTTGGCCTTCTTCTTCCCGCCACCCGATTTCTCGAGTTTGCCCTTGACTATTAATCCTTCCCCCGTACCCCGAGTAAGGGTACCCTGAGCTAGAAGCTCTAGCTCCTTCATCCTAGCTGCGGCCTTCACCTCCTCCACCGAGATAGTAGCTCGGGAATATTTCAGGACTTCCCTCAGCTGCTCATAAACAGGAGGTAAGGAGTTCAGCAGATAAACTGCTTGATACTCCTCCTCTACCTTCACATTTAGGCTGTGAAGGTCGGACAATAGTTTCTGGAAAATGTCTAAATTCTCCTCTATTGTCCTAGAGCTGTCCATCCTAAACCCTGACACCCTCTGCATGAGGTACATCCTATTGGGGAGAGATTGCTCTATGTGCAACCGCTCTAGTTTCCTCCAGATTTCGAAGGCCGTCCTTTCGGATATGACCTTCCTTAGAACCTGATCCGCTAGAGCAAGCACTATGAGGTTCCTAGCCCTTCTACTCCTTTCTTGTCTCTCTTTGAGAGCCGGAGTGCCCGATCCCTTAGCCCCGGGTCCTAGTGACCCGGTGGAAAGAGACGTAAGACCTCCCGAATCCTCGGTTTCCCGAGCTGGAGTTTGTGGGCTCCCCTCATCAGCAACCCCCCATGTAGATGGATCATCCTCTAGTGTGTCCCCTAACCCTAAGATCTCTAAGCTAATGGACATCTCCTCCTTCCATAAGGAGAAGTCTCCCTTGCCGTCGAACTTCTCGACGTCAAGGCCGCGATACAGAGGGGCAGACATCACTAATAGGAAACCTAATCTCTAACCCGAGGATGCACTAGACCTACCCAGAACGAAACTAACCTGGGAATGACTAACCCGACCCTAGGAGCACCTAAAACCAGACCTAAGGAGTAAGACCGATCCTAAGAGGACCTAAAACCTAGGTATTTTTCAACCTAACAGACCTAATATACTCTAAACCTGCCTACCTAGGACCTGATTACGTCTAATCAGACCTACCCCAAGGCTAACACTGACCTAACCAACCTAGATCAGCCCTAAAACCGAGTCTATTCTGTCTCCCTAAGTCCTAATCAGACCTAAATCAACCCAATATTGACTTACCTACCCCTGATCAGACTTGAATTAACCTAATCAGATCTAAACTAAGTCTAAACCGACCTAATTAAATCTGATCAGACCTAATCTCGCCTAAAATCAACCCTAACAGACCTGTACCTATTGATTTTAACCCTAATACCGACTTCTCACTCACCTAGTTCAGCCAAATCCTCCTATTCAGGCCTAACCGGACAGAATTACCGGACTCTATGACTGAAGACAGGTAACCAAAGTCTACCGCAGATCTAATCTGCCTTTACCTAGGATAGATCGACCTATACAGATCCTAAATACCCTATACCAGACAGAATGCCCTAAGAACCGGACTCTATCTAACCCAATCGAACCAATCAGACCTAAAACCGACCAATCTAAGTCCTAATCAGACAATCCTGACCCTATACCGACCAATCTAGACTTGTTCTAATCGATACAGACCCTAAACCAGACAAACCCAGCCCTATTTGGACAAATCAGACCCTAATCAGACCTAAACTGGCCCAATCCCAATCTAAATTGACCTAAACCGGACTCTATTGTCCTAAACCGGTCCTAGATTGACCTAAACCGGTTTGGGTTATCCCGAACCGGACCTAAATTGACTCGAACCGGTCTGAACCGGTTCAATTGACCCCAAACCGGACCTGAACCGGTCCAATTGACCTGAACCGATCCGGTTTTCCTAACCCGGTCAACTGTTGACCAGAAATTGGTCAACGTTTGACCTAACCCGACTAAACCGGTTCGATTTAAATCGAACCCGGTTCAATTAGACAATTTCGGTTGAACCGGCTAAACCGGATCAGAACCGAAAACCCTAATTCGGAACACGGAAGCCGCCGAGTTAACTCGAGCCAACTCGGACGTTGACTCAACCCCGAAGATGACTCAGTCGTGACTCGAACGAGTCACGGCCAAGACTCACCGG